GCCCCCCGCCCGCAGCCCCCCAGCCGGGGGAACGGCCGCGGGTGTGGGGTGCGCACCCTCCGCATGGCGGGGATGCTGGGCGGGCGGGGGTGCGCCGTGAGCTGGAGGTGGCTGTAGCGGTGGGGCAGGGTAATTAACGCGGTGTTAATTGGTGCCGACAGCTCGCGGACCAGTTCTGTAACGCCATCGGAGTGCTGCAGCAGTGCGGCCCCCCGGCCTCCTTCAGCAACATCCAGACGGCCATAAACAAGGATCAGCCCGTGAATCCCACGGAAGGTGAGTCCGGTTTCCTGCGTCTCCTACACGCCAACGTGCTTCGGTGTAGTGCGCTCGGGAATGCAAAATCCGGCCTCGGCAAAGAATTCCCCTCGTAGCTGGTGGAGTGATGGAGTCGAATGGATGTCGGCTGCACTTTCTGCATAACATTGTGACAGCAGAGTTGTGCTTGTTTCTAATAATTCTCTGAGTGATTGCCTGAGTTGTGCTGTGTTTTGTGCAGAGTATGCCCAGCTGTTCGCAGCTCTGATCGCTCGCACGGCCAAGGATATCGATGTTCTTATAGATTCCCTGCCCAGTGAAGAATCCACAGCAGCTTTGCAGGTAGGACTTTTCCTAATTTCAGCATCAGAACACTCCTGAAGACAAACTTCCTCCTTTTTTCTTAAACAGATTTTTTCATCTCTAAGCCAAATCATTACTGAAAAATTATTTTGGTACAAACCTGAATTTTTCATGAGGGTAGCCTTGTGAATATTTTGTAGGCTTAGTGAAAATTTTGAACTTGCATCTAGTTCCAAGTAAGATTATAATCGGTGACAATAATTTAGATTCAGTTTTCTGATAAAATGTAAAAAAAACTAGGTGGCTTTGTCACACCACCACTATACTGGAAACTACTCACCCTTTTTTTTCTGATATTAACAGAAGAGATGGAACAGTACTGATGCTTTGTGCATTGTTTTATTCTTTTTTTTTCCCCTTAGGTAATATTTCATATTTTTTCACATTTCATTTTGTAGCCGCAAAACCAGCACTACAGAACTTTTTTTGTTCTTTCATATTGTTTCTGGCTAGAATTTGCAGTCCTTGAAGTTCTTCAACTCTGTCACAAAATAATTCAATCACTTCTCAATAACAAGGAGTCTTCCTTCGAACCAGTCAAATTTGGGTTTTATTTGGTTTCTTTTTTTTCTGTTATTTCACAGATTTTACCCATTAAAACCATATTTTGTTTTTTTCTTTTTCGACTCTTAATGGCTGGATTTACATAAAGTATTTTCTTTTTGGAATGCTTAAAGAATGCATAGTGCTGTTTTCCTGACAAAGTTGATGATCACCTTTAAGATCACCTGCAAGTTTTAAACCTGCATTGATAGTCTGTAACCATTCAAAAGTGAATGGGCCAAAGAGAAATGACTTGGCAATGACACCACGTTTGGATTTAAACAAAGGAGGTTAAATTGGGAACTTTGCTAGTCATGGTAATTGCTGTGCCCATCCTAATTGGGCTCATTAACACTAGCATAATTTTCTGACAGTGTATTTTTAATAGCTGAAGACAGATTTCCTGTTACAGGCAAATTCCAGTTTCTTCCATGACTGAACAGTGTCTGATCAAAGTGGCAGCTGGTGTGGGCAAAGAAGCTCCTTCCAGAAGGAGGAGCTGGTTATCCAGTAGGGATGTTTTCCTTAGAGGTGATACTTCAATCGTTTCTTTCTGTCTTCATTAAGAACCTCATGTCACAAAATTTTCTGATGCTTTCTGTCTAGTGTGGTTTTAAGATAAATTTGTTTGGATTCCAGTTTTGATTTTTATTTTCTGTTGCTTAATTTGGTGCAGTATTAAATATTCTGATAGTCTTCAAAGAAATGGTGTTGAAGATGCTTGAAACAGTCTCAAATATGCACTATAGGTTTTGTTGAGAAGTGGTAGATAATACTTGATTAATATAAATGTACTCTAGGCTGATCTGCTTTTTTTATACTCTAGTTGTCTTGGTGTATATTTCAGATCCAGAGTCTTGTCTTAAATGATAAAAGGAGCTGCTAAACTAATGCTCAACACAATTTACCTCCCCCTTTTGAGTTCCCTTTTGGTGAAGTTGATAGTACAAATTCTGCTGTAAGCTGTGAAGTAGTTGCAGTCAACTATTAAACAGAACCTTTCTTTTTTTAGGGGGCACCAACCGGTCCCTCAGCATCCTTGAGTAGCAAAGTTGCTTTAGGGTTCTGTTGAAGATCCTTGCTTTTCCCTGTTGCCTAATATCAAAAGAGGAAACTCTTGCAACACTGTTAAAGTAGTAAAATAAAAAGCAGGCCTTTATTGGAAGCTTTCAAGTGTCCCAATGATCATGGGCACACCCAGCATCAGAGTTCTACGATTTTATGAGTTTTACAAATTAGCATATAAATATTGTAAACTTAAATGGTTACATAGTTTTCCCTGGGTTCTACCCCCACTGGAGTTGTTCCATGTTGCCTTCAGCAGCTGCAGGATCAGGTCCAGAGAAGCTACAGTTACCAGTGAGTGACATGGGACAGCAAGGAGACGGGCTTCTGCTCAGGAAACCATTTATTCAGCACGGGATCAGGCTCAGAGACAGAGCCCCGAACAGAGACAGCGTGATGGGTTTTGAGGGACAGAACCAGGGTGGAGTTCAATGTCAGGGACGACCAGGAACACAGCAAGAGAGAAACCCCAGGGACTCAAACCTAATGAGAAGCTCTGGGCTGCTATCCCATGAGGGTTCTGGGGTGGAGTTTCTTCCTGGGCTCGCAGGGCCTATCCTCTGAGGCAGAGGACGGAATGCCCTCTTGCCCACGCCTCTCACTTTAACAATGCTTATCTGAAACTAAATCTTTGCCTCCCTGGGCGGGGGCACATCACAGTTCCAGGGGCTTATTTGACCCCTTTCTTGTGTGTTCTCAGATTCTGGTTGGAAAACAAAACGTCTTGGCCAGGCTTCTTCCTAAGAATTAGACTAAACAGAGTTCCAAGTATGCATTAGAAGGGTTAACTTACTGTTCTAAGGGGAAACGGTAGGAAAAATACTAGAACTGTGTGATAGTAGCATCCAGAGCTGCGAATGTTTGAAAAATACATAAAACCACAAAAATCTTTCGGTATCATCTCGGTTTTGCTTTGAAGGCTGCGAGCCTGTACCGGCTGGAGGAGGAGAACCACGAGGCGGCGGCGCGGTTGGAGGAGGTTGTTTACCGGGGGGATGTGCTGCTCGAGAAGATCCAGAGCGCCCTGGCCGACATCGCCCAGTCGCAGCTCAAGACGCGGAGCGGCACCCACAGCCAGCCCCTGCCCGACTCGTAGCGCCAGGGGGCAGCGCGGCCCTGCCCAAGAGCCTCGGGAACGCCTCTGGATACACCGGGAATAGATGGGCTGGCCCGGCCCTCCCGCGGCGCTGCCCCGAGCTCTGCTCCGCGTCGGCAGCGGCGGCTTTGGCACAGTTGGGCTGCGGGTTTTGTGTGAGAAACGCTTCTACAGGGGCTCTGTTCTGGATCTGCGTGGATGTGTGATGTGTGTTTCCTCGAGTTAAAAAGAGCTTTCTGTTCACCAATATGACTTCACTCGAATTTGTTACATATTAGAAGCATTTGTATAAGTTAATCCCACCATGGTCGTGGTATGTTTTTTTTGTAAGCCTCAGGCACATATGAGTTGGCCAGAGTTCCCTGGAGACAGTACTGTGAATGCAGTGATGGTCATCTGTTTTAATTAACAGCACTAGTAATGTTGATTGGCTGGTTTACCACCCTTTACAGAGCATATGAAAGGATAAGTAAACTCTGCTGTTTACAGAGTGATTGTTCTTGTCATTGGCATTGTATTTACAAAGAAATAAACCTGCAGGTGTCTGATACTGACAGATACTGATACTGATTACTGTTTGTAATTCACAAATGAGCCTTTGAGTCCCTTGCTGCCACTGACACACCTGCTCTTACTTGCTTGTGCTATTTCTCTGCTTTTGCTGATACTCTGTATTCTCTTGGCAACTGGTGAGTGCCTCTAAAGCTGGCACTGATGAGGAAGCATTGGAAGACTGGATAAAAATCAGCAGTGAGAAAACTGAAAATAGCTTATTACATAATGTTGCTTTTTAGTGTAAGGATTGGCTGCCATATGAATGCTGTGATCATAAGCAGCAAGATTCCTGTTGTCCCCAAGGCACTCTACAGAGGTGTTTTTATCTTCACACACTCAATAACAGAATGAATTTTTTCTCTTTGTTGTAGAACTACAGAAATACTAGTATCTCTTTTGATATTTAAAATAAAGCTCCAACACCAAATCAGTGGCTAATATAGGCCTCAAAGCATGAACTTGGGGTTAAACTTGGTCATTTTCTGTTGTTCTGAGTTAACAACCTTGTTATTGCAAGATGTTGTTTGTTGGCAGGTAGCATCTGCTCATTTCCCAATCAAAACCACCTGTTTCTTTATATTGGCTACACTGTCATTGACTTGAAAGTTACACATGTTGCTAATGCACCCAGACACTTCAGAGCAATTCAAAAATGCCTTTAGTGTACTGATCCTTAAGGAATTAGATGCAGCCTCACACTGGACTGCCCCAGTGAAAGAACAAGTATAGCACAGCACTGTGTTTTGAGGATTAAAAAAGATAAAGGTGTTCCTATCTCTAATGCTAAAACTGGAAGTACTTAATGAGACTGGTCTTTCATTGCTTAATAATATTTTATGAAATGTGCATATCTTTAGTCATAAATTTAGTTTGCTGTTGTGAAACTCTTGCACTTTCAGATTCTGCAGAAGGAAAAAAAGAAATAAAGAATATGTTGCTGGAAAAGGGATTTGATTTTCATAGAAGATTCCCTGTTACAGCTTAACATGTCCATCAGCTCACACTTGTTAACTTGGAAACTGTGGAAGACTGTGTACATCTTCATTAACCACAGTTCATTTCATAGCCTTCTATTTTTTTGTACTTGAAAACTGCTCTATTTCTGCAGCATGATACTGCCTAACTGGGGAAGCTCTTTCTTCTAGTTGCTGTTTAAGCATCAAACAGGTAGTCATACTTGGAAGTAAACCTTAACCAGAAGTTCAAATAAGTTTATGATATTTTGACACTTCAGCTGGTGTAGATTTCCACCTGCTCTTTCACAGTCTGCAGCTTGGTCAGCAAAGTGTGTATCTTCTCTTGGTTTGACACAACAAAGGATGGAAAACATTGATTTGCTGCGGCTGTTTAATGGACAAAGCGTTAGACTGGGGCCTGGAGATGTGGATTTCTTTGCCCTTTATCATGTGCTGATTTGTCCAGCTGCTGCTATTGGGGTTTGGTAGTGATCTCCTTGTACTCCGGCAAGAATTGTAGGGCATGCAGGATTATGGGGTCTGGCTCAGTTATGACACTTCTACTTTTCAGTGCATTAGAAAAAATGGAGGAGTCACAGCATCATAGAATGGAATGGGACCTTAAATCTCATCTCATTCCAACCCCCCTGCCATGGGCAGGGACACCTTCTGCTATCCCAGCTCGCTGCAAGCCCCATCCAGCCTGGCCTTGGACAATGCCAGGGATCCAGGGAAAGCCACAGCTTCCCTGGGCAACCTGTGACAGGGCCTCAGCACCCTCACAGGGAACAATTTCCTCCTAATATCCAACCTAAATGTTCTCTCTGTCAGTGTGAAGCCATTCTCCCTTGTCCTGTCACTCCAGGCCCTTGTCAAGAGTCTCTCTCCATCTTTCCTGTGGGTTCCCTTCAGGCACTGCAAGGCCACAATGAGGTCACCCCAAAGCCTTCTCTTCCCCAGGCTGAGCAATCCCAATTGTTCCCTCAGCCTTTCCTCCCAGCAGAGCTGCTCCATCCCTCTGATGCCCTTGGTGTCCCTGCTGTGGCCTGGCTGCAGCAGCTCCCTGTCCTTCCTGTGCTGGGCCCAGGGCTGGATGCAGCCCTGCAGGGGGGGCTCAGCAGAGCCGGGCAGAGGGGCAGAATCCCCCCAGCCCAGCACAGGGGGGCTCTGGGTCCCAGCACACATGGCTGGGGCAGGGCCAGCTCTCCCCCACAGCACCCCCAGGTCCTTCTGCCAGGGCTGCTCCCTCTGCTCATCCCCAGCCTGCAGGCATAGTGTCTTCCCTGAGAAGCCTTGCCTGCTTCCCAAATTTTAATACCGGAGAGAGGGAGGCAGGGTGAGGGGAACAAAGCAGCTGGTAACAAACATATCAGATAACCTGGGAGAGAGTTGTGAAAGGAAATTCAGGTTGAGTCGAGAATAGATTTAGGTAGAGCACATGGGAAGAAAACAGAAGTGTTGAGCTATGGTTCTGCATGTTATGTTGTACAAGGAGTACTGCCCAGTGAACAAATTGTGCTTTGAAGAAAGACAGTAGAGAGCATAATGGAAAATTCCTTTGAAAAACAATCTCAGCCACTTTAAATGAGCAGGAGCATCTCACGCTGAGAATCCATACAGCCCACTGGCAAAAATGTTGGAATCAATTTAGAAAATATAAGCAACTGATCAAAGCCTAGTCTTTACTATAAACAACCATGCTTGGAGGAAAGGAACACCTCACAGCAGCTGTTCTCTTTTTGAGAGACAAGAATACAGAGAAATTAGTAAACTTGTTTTTAAAGGTACTGGGAAAAGTTCATTAACATTATTTTAGCTTAACGTCTATATGAAGTTATCTTGGCTTCTATTGCAGATGATCTTGGAGGATCTGGGAGCTTCTGCTGTGAGTGGCATGGGGAAAGTGTTTTGGTCATCCCCACAGACCTGATACCAAAAGATTTTGGGCGTTTTCAATAATACAGGCCAGAGACTGGCAGGCTGGAGAGCAGCTCTGCTCAGATGGAGCTTGGGCCTTGGCACACAGCAGGCTGAGCATGAGCCAGCAGCTGGCCCTGGGAATACAACAGGCCAGCAGCATCCTGGGCTGTGTTAGCAGGAGCACAGCCAGGAGATTGAGGAAAGCAATCACTTCCCTGTGTTCAGCACGTGTTGGAGTGCACCTGGAATGCTCCCAACACCTCTGGGCCCCCAGGATCAGCATGGGCTGGAGCACATCCCCATGAGGAGAGGCTGAGGGAGCTAGGCTGGGAACAGGAATGGCTTTGGGACACCCAACAGCAGCCTGCTCATGGGATGGCTTCGGGGACACCTAAGAGCAGCCTGCCCACACCTATGGGGGCTTATGAAAAGACAGGACCAGGCTGTTCACAGTGGTGCTTGGCAGAAGGAGGATGATGGTGGACAGAGATTGGAGCAACAGAGGTTCAGACTGGTCACAAGGAAAATCTTTTTCAACATCGGGACAAGTAAATTTTGCAACACAGTCCCCAGAGAAGCTGAAAATCCTGGGGTGTTTTTCAAGACTTGGATGCTTAAAGCTCTGGCCAACCTCATTGACCTCACAGCTGACTGACCGCTGGTCAGGAGGTGGAATTAGACTCCTCCTGAGCTCTGTCTTCATCCTGTGGATACGAGACACATGCACAGCTTCAGAAAGAACCAACAAACTGTGAAGGAATGTTGTGTCCCCACTATAGAAAGGCAGATCTGGAGGGCAGAAAACTTGAGGTATCTCATATCAGCCTCATTCCTATTGATGAGACTTTGTGATGTGCTGGGAGGCCACTGAGTTGACCTTATGTGTGGTGTGAAATTCCATGCTGTAGTGACCCAAGTTTCCAACAGGTGCCTTTGGAGAGTGTGATATGCAAAATCCACATCCTACACTTAGAGAAAATTGATCTGTCAGATGATGCTGACTCACTGTTAGACAAAGGCAGACTCCTCTACAGAAAGAAATTGTATTTGTGTTTTACATAGCTTGTTATGTCATCTTACATAAGAAATTACAAAAGCCCAATTTTCAGGCATCAAATCTGAGGCTAGAGAAAAAGTTTTATTTTAGCTTTTTATTTAAGATCTATGGAAGAAAGCTTGAATTACTTTTATTGACTTAAAAACAAATTATTGATTGACTGGCAGTAACTTTTTACCTGAAACCCATGTTCTAGCAACAAAGAGCACAGAAAACAAAGTTTGCCAGCTTTTTTTTCACATTTTATGTATGTCATACACTGTTTTAGGTGCTTGCAGTAAGTGGCATCCACAGTGGAAATGATCTTCAGGAAGTTTCTGTCTGTTTCAATGTTTTTAGTGTAACATGCTTTGAAGGAGTGAAGCTTGACAATGACTTCACGCTGTTTGTGTACACTTAGATGCAGGGCTTAGGTTTATTTTTGTTTATTGGAAAGCCTTGTAGGCTTGTTCACTGTACCTAGACCAGGAATTTTATATTCTTGTTGCTGCTGCTGCACTCAACTGGCATGGACAAGTAGCTGAACACATTCACCTCATGTTCTGAGCACAGAGGATTGTCTATTTTACAGCTGTTTACACCAGGACCATGTTTCTTCTGAATTTCTGTTTGTACCTAACACTCAAAAAACATAACACAACAGTGGAAACAGTTTTCCACTGACCATTTTAACTTGATTTTTGCTTACTGTAAATATTACTTGGGTCCTGGCTTTAGCCTCTTACACATTTCACTGAAGGCCTAAATGAATTAATTTTCTGAAGTGGAAATTTGTAGCTGAGTAGGGACTGTGTAATTTGGCTCTGAGACATCTTTCCTCCACCCCGCCCACTTAAAAAGAGAAGATTGGAATAAAAGCACTCTTTCAGGAAAAAAACGTACTCCATTCTATGGCTGTGTGGGAAAGCAATTAAATGTACATTAACTTTCCACAAGTGCTAGAGAAAAATCCCAATTGTTTTCTCAAGCCATGATCTAAGAGAGAGAAGCCACATTCTTTAAAATAAAGCACACCTTTGAAGCTAAGAGCTCAAAAGAAGAGGGTTCTTACACTTGAGATTGTGGAGGCAGGGCTTCTCCAG